AAGACGCTATCCAAAGTGATCTTATTAATACAGTTTTCCTACTGGAATAACACAAGACCCTATCCAAAGTGATCACATAGAATACAGTTTTCCTACTAGGATAACACAATACCCTATCCAAAGTGATCAAATAGTATACAGTTTTCCTACTAGGATAACACAATACCCTATCCAAAGTGATCACAGTTTTCCTACCGCATGGTTGAATGACCAAAATAAAAAACTGATCTACAGTAAGTTTATCTCCAAATGTTTCTAATATAGTTGTTACCTCACGGGTTTTTGAGTATTGTTATAGATTTAGCAAGATCAAGTAAGATCACTTTATAGATGTTTTCACTACTTAGCTTTAGTTCTGTCTGTTTGCTGCAAGATTTTCATTCTCAATGAGAGTTTTAATTAAATGCGTATAGTTACCTCTATTTCTAAGTGTTTGCTGCAAGATCTTCATTCTAAATGAGTGTTTTAATTAAATGCGTATAGTTACCTCTATTTCTAAGTGTTTGCTGCAAGATCTTCATTCTAAATGAGTGTTTTAATTAAATGCGTATAGTTACCTCTATTTCTAAGTGTTTGCTGCAAGATTTTCATTCTAAATAAGAGTCGTAACTAGCTTGCAATTATTGTTTTATGCTGAATGAACAGTGTTAACTACGATTAATATAATGATATTTCAAAAAAACTCACGATCTTAATACTCTTTTCATGATAGTTAATTTTTGTTATAACTTAACTTAAATATCAAAATAAAAATGAATACATTTGTAAATAATAACTAGTGAGCATTATTTACTGTTATGTTTCTATATTTTTCACCTCTTTCTAGTCAAGTGTTTTTTCCTTTAGCAAAGCCATATCGGGCTATCTGCTATGTCCACCGATGGGAATCTTTCTAGTCAAATAGCTAATGATTTCTTCAGTTTGCTTAAACTCCGTAATAACAGCTGAAACACAACTGGAGACAAACTTCATTTATTGGTAAACACAAAGTTTCACAATTGGCTACTTGTGCTGTGGCCACCCGGGGGGGGGGGGGTTCGATACCAGAGTTTTAAGCTCTCTGAGATTTTACAGAAATGTGTAAGGAATAAAACGAACACTTCTGAAAACGGAAAACAATTTTTTTTTCAAGAGGAAGAGGTCAATTCTGTGTCACAAATGCTTTCAAGCTTTTTTCATTTTACATTAAGCTTTTTGAAAACTGAAAGAACGGCTATACTGAAAATTGTTTAAAAGCTTTCTTAGCGAATATAAATTCCGTTAGTTTGACGTTCGTTTGCTAAGTCGCTGGTGTTCAATATTACAATAAAAACTAGAGGGACACTCAGTAGAGCGCATACCTCAGCCACGCAACGTTCATCATATATGGCTCTCCGAAGAATACGAAAATGTGTCCGCATGTTAACAGATAATGAATTTTCGGATTTCCTGATCTTGACCCTTCTAAGTTGTATCATTGTCCAAATGTTTACCAACTTTCGTCAAAATCCATTCAGCCATTTTCGAGAAATCTTGCTCACTAACACACACACACACACAAACACACACATAGCCCGGCATGGCCAGGTGGTTAAGGCACTCGACTCGCAATCTGAGGGTCGCGGGTTCGAATCCCTGTCACACCAAACATGCTCGCCCTTTCAGCCGTGGGGGCGTTATAAAGTGACAGTCAATCCCACTATTCGTTGGTAAAAGAGTAGCCCAAGAGTTGGCGGTGGGTGGTGATGACTAGCTGCCTTCCCTCTAGTCTTACACTGCTAAATTAGGGACGGCTAGCGCAGATAGCCCTCGTGTAGCTTTGTGCGAAATTCAAAAACAAACAAACAAACAAACACACACACATACAGGGGTGGAAAATAACTTCACCGAAGGTGATGGAGGTAATAACAACAACATATATACTGATAAGTTTTGAAAAAATGTGACGCTTGTTGCAAAAAAAATCCGAGGAAACTCCTTCTGCCAATTTAAACTCTACAGTAGCATTTCATCAACACTTGGATTTTGAAAATCAAGTAATGTTTTGCGAAGCTTTATACTGAACTATAATCGAAACGTTGTTAAACAGTTCTTATTACTTTAGATCGTGATTAGTTTCGGATCGTGATTGCTATGCAGATCAGGACTGGTTGTCCTTATTACCAGAGAGAATTCAGTAAATTCAGTCCCTCACCGTGATAGTTTCAGCAACGGTTATGTAAATATGACAACGTAACAACATTGATGAACCATTTGTTAAACACGATAAAGTACTTTTAATTCAACGGATCCCCCCCACGTGGCTCCACCTGGAAAAAAATGAAGTAAACAAATATATATATATATGTCTCACGTGTTTAATCGTAACTCTAATTTTAAAAAAGCCCTCCAGTGGCACAGGGGTATGTCTGCGGACTTACAACACTAGAAACCGAGTTTTGATACCCGTGGTGGGCAGACCACGAATAGCCCATTGTGTAGCTTTGTGCTTGATTACAAACAAACACAATTATGGTCGAACATGAGATTGCTGACTGTATTGCTTTCAGTATTATCGTCTTATTTACTGCAGTAAATAACTTTTGTGGTAGCGTTTATACTTATAAATTAATTCTTCTAAAATTATCTTATATATTCTACTTTCAACATAATATATAGAGCTCTGAACTTCACTTGGTTCTTTTTAGTTAAAACTTAGATCAAACAGATGTTAGTAAGAGTTACTCACATTCATGAGTAATCAGTCAAATTATAACCTTGAAGTTTCAATCAAGACAAACATAATAAGTGAAACGCGTGTACACCAAGGCATCAGTAAGTAGAAAAGCGTTAACATGTAGTGAAATAGCATCGCCATAATTTACAAAGTTAGAGACGGAGAACACATCCCCCTTACTCTTGAGCAGCAGTAATGTTCAGTCATAGGGCGTGTTCTTGCAGAGCATACAGTAATCATCTCTGCCACCCACCAAAAACACTTTTGAAACCAAAGTTATTCCCCCGTGTACTCTATTTTTATTTATTTACTGTCAATAATTTTAAGATTTATTTCATTGACTAAAATTTATAATTTGAGATGTCAAATTACCAGAATACTTAGCATCAAGTTAATTTGACGTTAGAGTTTCTTAGGAAGATCAACAACAGCAAGAATAATTATACATAAACTTAAACTTACAACCGCTGACATAATGCCTGGACTTCAGAGTTAAGTGCGTGGACTTAGAACGCTAAAATCCGGGGTTCGATTCCATATGGTGGAGAGAATACAGATTCCCATTGTGAGGCTTCACGTTAAAACAAACAAATGTTGGCGTTATTTAAAACAGATAAGAATTTCTTAGGAAGATCAACACTACAACAATAACTATTTATGGACTTTTAACCCTGGGACTAAAGCAATATGCTTGATATTAAGATATATAGGTGTTATTAAGAATGTAATATTGTTGTTACCTTTAGAAAACTTGTGTGAATTGTTTATAACTCTCTAATACAATACATCAAATATAACCTCTGTGTTTTTATTCTTTCCCAATAATATAACTTGCATTTGAGTTTTTTCTTCATTAGGCAGACGATAGTATTGTTATAGAATGTCTGTAAATATCATAACAAAACGTTTGAATTTCTTGTTCTTCTTTCTTCTGCTTCTTTTTATTACATGATAACTCAAAAACCAAAACAATGGTGTCAAACAATTTCACCGAGGTGACAGTGTTTCAAACGGAGTATTCGCTTTTATAACTATTATTGATAACTAGAAGTAATTTTAAAAAATCATAATTCTAGTGTAAACGATGTTATCATTACCCCTTGAAGTTAGCTTTCTTACAGAAATATGATTTGTTTGTTATAAAAGCTTAAGTAGAAGGTGAAACAGGAATTACCAGCCAATAATAGATAAACAATAAATTACAGTTGGAACCTCACTGTATTTGGAACTTGTTTATAAATACAACCTTCCTATGTCTGTTGAAACACTGCATTAAAAAACAAGTAAAGAAAAACCCTTTTCAAAAAAATAATTAAGTATAGGGATGGCTTCAAATACAATGTAAACGAAGTAGTAGTAGTAGTGGCATATGCATCATCTCTACTATCTTGTTTACATTGTTTTTCAAGGATTGATATTAACTGTCCCTATATTTAATTCCTTTTTTTAAAGTTTTTTTTTTACTTGTAAACTTTTAGTAGCATAGTTATATTCAATGAGAAATATCTGTGTGTTCTGTTCCACTGTTAATACTTTTACTGTGTTTTTTTTTCTGTTTTATTAAACAGAAGAGTTGAGGGTGATAACAAAAGTCGACAAACAAACAAAATCAAGGAATCTGATTTAAAGAAATATTTGAGGAAACTAACGACCTTTACTTTTTACACTGTAAAATTTAATAATATCATTCATATCAAAAATTAATAGCACCCCATAATACAGTACATTCTATTCACGCCAATGGATTTGTAGTTATTAATCATATTATGATTACTTGAATGCGAGGCACAGTTTGTCGTTTAGTATTGTCCAAAGGCAACTGCACTTATCATCAAGACATGTCCCCCAGTGGCACAGCGGTATGTCTACGGACTTACCAAGCTAGAAACCGGGTTTCCATACCCGTGGTGGGCAGAGCACAGATAGCCCATTGTGTAGCTTTGTGCTTAACTTCAAACAAACATGAAGACATATTTGGTTCACGATATAGGATAGTTAAACTACATTCATAGACTTGGCTTCTGGCTTCAACCCGCCACGAAGCGCATCCGCCTGTAACCGGGGAGGGGGGGTAAGAACTATAGCAGATTCCCCTTTTTTTTCCCTTCACTTATTCGTGTCTACCAATGATGGGTCGGATAAGTAGGTGGCTTATTGTAGAGAACCGGCTTTAAGTATTACGTAGTGGTTTCGCGCGTCCAATGAAAATTGGTGTAGCAGTGTTACGTAGAATACCGAGAGATCGCTTACAGGTGAGTCTTCGCGCAGTCTGCATTCCACTAAGTTTAGCTGAACGAACCGTCCAACCTATGTCTAACGGCACGGCGGTTTTAGCCTCGGTTCGTCTGCCCTCGAAAAATAACTACCTATTCCATGGCCTCTGAGATGGCGGATTTTCATGATGTAAGTATTATTTCCGAGGCAACAGCTTAAATTTATAACATATATATCGTACTTTTCATAACTAAGTCTGCATACATTGATTGAAACAGCTGCTATTAATGTAGTAATAATCGTATGCTGCCTGGTAATTATTGGAATTGCTTTGTCAGAACTATGAGGAACTATCAGATTTCTCTAAACTATCTTAAAATCGAATTTTATAGAAAAGAAAATATTTAGCATAATTTACAAATTTGATATGTTTGGAAATACCAATGTGTAATGTTGTGATAGGTGAAACCTTCCCGCTTTAAACCTCGAATTTGAGAAGAATTAGTGACTGCACCTCCTTGTTAAATTTTATTAATTTTGCCTCGTTTAACTCTATTTAACAGTTTCAACATTTGAGATTGTTAAAGAACTCGTGCTGACGATATCTCTTTAGGTTCGAACGACAATGATGTTCTTGTTTTTTCAAAACAAACGTGTTCTTCTTTGATGTTTAAATATCTGATTTTTATGTCGATAGGTCTTTCAACAACAACAAAAAAAGACCTATTTCAGTTGCTACAATTAACTTTCATTCTTGTTTGTTCATTTAGATGTGGCAGGACATTGAAAGCGTCCTTTTGGGCGATATGGGAAACGGAGCTACCGATCCACGCTCCGTGAATCAATTAGCTTCTGTGCCAGTTTCCGGAGCACCGAGTTTGCATGCAGACAGCCGCCACGAGGAAATAACAGCGCCATCGTATCCCCCCGTCACAGCGCCTTCACAACTTCCTAATCATCAATTAGAAGAAGAATTTATTATCCCAAATTGTTTGAATAATGACACTTACGCCAGTTTCGCCAATTCCTATGGATTTCCGGCTCCACCTAAACCAAAGCCGAACTATGCCCAGTGTATGGTGAGGACACAAGGGGGGCCAGAAATGGTGAACTTCTATTACAATGAGTACACGGGACATTATGCGCCGATATCATATCTAGACTCTAAACCCCAACATTCCGTACCAGTAAGTAAACCTTCAGACCGAAATCTGACGGCACCCTATTCCCGCCCTTGGGGATACTGCCCACCAGGATCAGTCCCCAGTGTCCCTTCTCAAATGTCGCCTCCTGCCTCTCCGGAAAACTCAGGAGGGCATCAGTTCACTCACACGAACTGCATCATGGAGACAGCGCCTCAGCAAGGACCGTCAGGGAGAATTCCCAGGACTCACGGCTGGCCTTCCCAAACTGCCTCTAGTGCTCTTCACCACGGTCCTCCTCACCTCCGAATGGTTACGCCACCATCTTCGCCGCACTTGGGCGATCTTCTGGTGAACGGAGCCTCCTCGTACAGTCCTTCGGTTTGCGGAATTCCTCCAACCAAACCACGGCGAGGACGAAGAAGCACAGGCCGCAAGAAAATGACAGTTCATACATGCTCTCATCCAGGTTGTAGTAAAATTTACACTAAGAGTTCACATCTGAAGGCTCATCTCCGGACTCATACCGGTGAGAAACCCTACCAGTGCACGTGGAAGGGATGTGGTTGGAAGTTTGCCCGATCGGACGAACTGACCAGACACTACCGGAAACACACTGGTGACAGACCTTTCCAATGTCGTCTATGTGAACGTGCTTTTTCTAGGTCGGACCACCTGTCACTTCACATGAAGAGACATACAGCAGTATGATTTACAAAAAAAAAAAAACTCTACGTAGCTTTCATTCCTAAGAACACTTTTTTATTATGTGAAAATGTGCATAATATCATGTGTATAATAAATATCCGAGTGTTAAAAGGCTTGTGTCTAGTCGTCGTCATTTTCCAGATGGCACCACGAATATTCGAGCCTTAGCAATAACTTTAACCTAACAAAAGATGTGAAGTTTAAGAAACTCCCCCCAGTTTCTTAGTTGGAAAGTTTCATAAGACAACAATATCCAATCTGGCCACAACTTGTACCGCTGACTGGACTGACTGACCATTAGTTTTAAGCACTATCCATAGTCAGAATGTGATCAAACCACCGTTCGGTAAGGATTAATTTTTCCTCTTTCTACTGTTAAAGCATGGTCCCTTGTTTTTAAACGCTGCACTCTTAGCTCGGGTAGAACTAATTTCATAAGATGAATATTACATACATGAGGTAAAGTTTTTGTGTTTAGATAACAGAATAACAAAATCGTCTTCTTCCATGATAGTACTTTGTTTTGTTTTTTGCTATGTTATGAAATTAACCGAATTATTAGATAATTAAGACAATGTAATGGGCGGAGCTGCGTTATAAACCACGCCTCTTTCGTATATATTTAATTATGTGAGCATATGTTTGTTTATAAACAAACAGGAATATCTAATTAACTTACAACCCTGCACGAGGCAAGAACAGGTTCACAAGACTATATATTATATACTCACTTTTGTTTTGCTCTAAAAATATTCTTTCTCTCTGTCGAAAATAGTATTATATAGTTTAAAAATGACCAAATTTACGTATTTGTGGTGTATTTAACCAAACAACCACCGTTCCTACCTGTAATAGAATAATTTTGAAAAATTTTTTATTGACTTTCCTATCATCCCTGTACCTGGCGATTCTGACTAACCAGCACTCCCTTTTCCCCCTCCACCTCCTACAATAAACTTAATAGACCATAGTGCCGGGAGATCCCACACAATTACTGTTTGTATTTGAAAAGACACAGCACAGAAAGGAAAGTTTATTTTGTCCGTTAATAAAAACGTTACCGCTGTCTTGCATGTTTGAAAGTACTTCTTGAAGTAACGAAAGTGTAGTGTATTTCACCTGTGAAAGGTGTTAACACTCTCTTATATTACCAGGGGCGTGACTAAGATCGGAAACAGAGATCTTGCACTTTAGAGATTTTCAAATTTTAAGAGAAACTCAATCTACACAGCTTGTAAATTTGCTTATGCCCAAAATTCGGCAGCAATTATTCGGGTGTTTAGATACTAATATCTACTGCTCACGTACGATGCAATACCTTGTTTTTTAATTCTTTTGTTCTCCTTTTTTTTTCTTCCAGAAAATTCAATATGATTTGACTGGGGAGACATCCAAGCAAGTTCAACGCCTCCTACCGCTTGTCAGTGTCCCCTCGAAAATAACCATCAAAAGTCCATAAACAATAGACAGTTCAGATGTAGAGATACCATGAGGTATAATTAACCCGTTTAACGAAAACATCCATCTTTGTTGAGTCTAGACTTCAATGTAACTCACAATATTTTTTAACATACTCAGGTAAATGAGGTTTACAAACGGTTGTACGACAGGCCCTCTTTATTCATCAGGACTTGTAAATATGACTCCATTACGCTAGAAGTACTTGTATTCTCAGAGCATGATGCCCAGAAATGATTATTATTTTCTTGGACACTTTATTCGTATAAATACCTTCGTGACATTTCGATCAAATGGTTATTTAATTGTGTCTTGAACATATGTAATTTTTTGGACTAATTAAAATATTTCTTTTTTTTTCCTATGACTGAAAGTTTTAAATGAAAAGTAACAGATCAATACAGTGATAAGTTTTGTCTTTAAGTAAGTTAAAAAAAACATTTCATTACGACTAAATACGAACGTCTTTAGAGAACATGGACCTTCTGTTGCAAAATCCAATCACTCTGATTAAGCTGTGGATCTACAGCGCTGTTTATCACTTCAGTGAATAAAAATTTCAAACTGATTCTGATATAAAATGCAGTGCTAGTGGCGACTTCATATTTATTGAGTTGGATGTTTTTAATAAACCGCACACAACGATTGCGATTCTTACTCCTCTGGGAGCTGAATTTTGTGTTGTAAAATACTTTATTTGCTTTATGTTTGCTTGTTTTTTGTAAAATATTTAGAGCATTTGTGATTTATTCCATCATGTAAAACATGTCAGTAAAATCTTTATTAAATCAAGTTAAAAATGTTTTGGTTTCACCTCTTTGAAATTTTCAAATTTCTGGTTAACAGTGGCTCTGATGAATGTGACAATGGTTTGACCAAATCTCTTTATATCAAGTTGTATCTGGAGCCTCATGCTATGTTAATAACTACGTAATTAGTAATCACACAATCGAAAGTATGCAAACGAAAGCACTTGACTTTAACTTGTTCTTTAAAATACACCTTCGTGATAGATTTCTTTAAAACTTTTAAAGACTAGGACGTATAGTAAAAACGTGAAAAGACTTAAAATGTTTAAATTTGTCTCATGTTATAGATTTTTCATTAATAAGGAGGAAAGCAGCACATGAATTTAACACCTTAATACTTCAGCATGATATAAAATTGGATGATTAAATCTTTTACCCTACAGGGGGTTTGTTTCCCTTGGGCAAAGTGAGCTCGTACAGCAAACAACTATCCGTTAAGAAAACATGAGGAACAAGTGAATAACGTCTGAAAATTATTGTTAGTTTTCATTTAAATTTTGTTGTTGCTAACTTCAACCACTTCTAAAATGCTGTAATATTAACATAGTCTGGAAAAAATTAAATCTTTCTAAAATTCTCCTTCATATGAGGCCAAGCATTTAATAGAAATAGTTTTTGTCTTTTTGTGCATTATTATAAATACTACCGCTAGATATCTTATTATACATAACATAAAAAAAAGAAGAAAGAAAGAAACTCGGTAATTCATCTGTAAGTTTGAGGGTTATAACGCTGAAATTCGGGATTCGATCTCAGTTATGCAGCTTTGCTCTTAAGCAAACAAAATAACACACGCAAAAAAAATATAAAAAGCATAAAATAAACATTTCACGAACGGTTGATAAGACTTTGGAACTAATTTCTTGTGACTAGCAACTTATGTCACTTGGATAAAAAAATAGTCATTAAAGTTTGTGTTTACTTTATTATACTTACAAATTTCAACTTTCACACACTACTGTTTAATTAGTCTACCTAGTGTATACGTGTATATTCATTCCTTGTGTAGTACATTACGTTTCATTTTTGTGTGATAGAACTCTTTTTACCTAATGAATTTCAGTAGCAACGTTACACATCCGTGAGAACTAAACAAACCTCGTTACAGTAAGCTGTTTACAAAGCTACTGATTCTTTTTTTCTGTTATCTAAGACTCATTATGTATATACAATATAATGTACATTATCTTTTATTATTTGCGCTGTGGAGCCACGTGCCAAACTGCAATATGCTAAGAAAAATTATTATCCCTCGATTTTGTGGCAAGTCACAAATTGTCGAAGTGCATGTGTTTTTCAGAAGACGTACTTTAATATGTACTAAATTAGTGTTAAGAATGAAATCGATATAAACTTTACTAATTCTGTAAAACTTTTTAACTAAAAATTATTTAATTTTAATGAAAAACAGTACATAATCTACATCTTGGAACGGTATAATACGTTATTCATCCTTATCAGCTTCATTTTGATTTATGGTTAAATGTAGACTTGGTATTACAATACTATAAACAACGTTATCGATAAGAAAATACAGTTGTTTTTATTTTGTCCTTTGTCAAAAATCATAATAAAATATAATTACAGGTGCGGATTGGCACTGTGGTAGAACTCGAGTCGTGTTCGAATCGTGTGATATCAGAAACCATTCTCAACGCTTTAAATTGTGTGTGGGTTATAAGAGTGATAGTCAATCCCTTATCATGTATAGTAGTGTAGTAGGGTGCTACTACTGACTGGCTTCCTTCCATCTCGTCAGTACTTCAAAATTAGGGACAGCAGCAGATAGTCCTAATAGCTTTGTAGTAAAAACAAAATACATTAAATTATATGTCAGGTCACAACCACGATTGCTTTGAACGAGCTTGTGGGCTTCACTAACACTTTCCTTGAACTTTAAATATTTGTTTTTCCAGATAGGTGTTAACTTGGATGAATGAGTGATTGTAAAGAATGGAATAGTTTTGTCCTTTTAAAGACAAAACAAGTTAAAGCCTTGAAACGTAAGCTGCTGATATATATAAACAATGAGTTTTTAAATATATTTTCTTATGTTAAAGCTGGAAAAACATCACTGAGTTAAATTTTACTGGTCATTATGATACTTCAAGAAACGTATCACATTGTGAACATATTGAGAGTGTTCATTTTTATGATACATATTAAAGCGAAATAATTGCATAATTGTTTGATTTATGTTGTGGTAAGAAATATGTCAATAATAAAAAAAATTATTGAGTCGTCGCTGAAGACGCCTGCCTATACATCGATCGATCGATACATCAATTATGTTGATGCTATGGGTGGTTGTTGCAAACATATGGTTACTATATAGTAGCAGAGGTACGAGGTAATGTTCTTGTTACTGTTCCACTTCAATTTCTAAACGATACGAATATATTAGGCCTCTTCGGAACAAGAATAATGAATATGTAAAAAAATGTACTGGTATTAGAAATGAAGGTAAATATCATATGATGTTGCAGGCTGCGCCATCTAGAAACAATGGTGTGTACTAATTATTCAACACTAAACATTATCGTTGTCCTCTCATCAATATGTTATGAAAAAGTGAATATATATTTTTTTTAATCGTTCGACATTACTCCAGGCAAGACTTTTTGAAAATCTCCACACTTATGGTAGCAAGCCATAGATGATAAAAAAATTATTTTTAAAAACATGAACTGGAAATTTTTAAAAGTTTTTTGAGGTATTGTTTTTTTTTCCTTATCC